TCGTCTCATGAGAAGCAAATTGACTGCAAACAACACCACAACAAGACTTGCACTCGTTGCAAACGATAAGGATACAGCAACTACTCCTTTAAAATATTACATGAGAGAAGCTTACCCTGCATACTACTTCGCGTGTACTATTTTGGGAATTGTCTTCTCTGAAGTCGAGGATTTCATCCCTACAGCGGTGATATGTTACAATGTTATGACCTCATAGAAGGTTTAAACGTTAAAAAAGCAAAAGGCTATTAAAAGCTGGCTATTGACATAAACACTCTGAATCATACATAATTTAATCTAACAAATAAATGATATACATATAAGCAAAAGAAAATACAAAGGAAATACTGCACTGATGCTGACAATCACCAGCTGATTGAGTGTAGCGTTGTGGACCGTGTTTCTTCGCCAGGGCCGGAATTGAATTTACCTGTACTTTCAACTAGATTTTTCTCGAAAACGATAAACTTTCGGATATATTAACATTTACTTAATTTTCATGTTTTATAGTGCTACACGCTCGGCACTTATTTCTGTTATACCCTGTATATATGTTTAATCTAAAACAAAAACTACTTTTGCAATCCTTTGAAAATGAAGTTATAGATAGAGATTCCGTTGCAATTCTTAAGATATAACTTTGCAATTCTTTTAATAAATTAACATCTGAAACGGAATTATCAATTTGGAATACCATCTTCTATATATAAGTATGCTTCGACATTTTATATCAGTTTTTTTTTTTTTTTTCGTAATGATAGATATTAACTGTAACAGTATTTATTACACATATATAAAAAATCAGAGACTGTGACTGCGACTGTAAATAAAGATTTGGACGTATTTGTTTGTACCTGCTTTGAACTCTAGTGAAAGTTAGTGCATGATCAGTTATTGTATAATGCCAATTCTCGTACCACACCCACTTGATGTCTATGCGCTCGGCACAGTTTTTAATGGTGATAAATTGCGCTCGGCATACCATGTGTACCACCATCATGGTCACATACATACATTGTGTAATTACAAAACTAAACGGGAATGGGCAACTAAGACCTTCTTAATGAATTTTCGTGAAGAGATTTGAGAGATATCAACAAACGGAATCTGTTATAACATTCAAAATCCACTCTTTTTTACTTTGCAGATTACTTGAAAGGTCAAAACCGGAACAGTTATTTATTTTTAAAATACTATTGGTAACCTTTTTTGTTTTCATTAAAATAAAAGTACGCCTTTTTCGAATTTTTAAATTANAACTTTATCATTCTTCCTAATTTTAGGTCCACTAGTTTTAACTAGAATGTGATATTTTTAAAAATTTCTAAGTATAAAAGCAGTTTTTCTCAACTTTAATAAATTTCTAATTTTTGAAACATTTTGCCGAAAAATAGGTAAAGCAACATTAAAGAAAAAGAATTGTAGTCGTCAAAAAATCATTTCCTAATACGTTTCAAACGACCCTAACGAAATGCGTAACTGTTTTTCAATTTAATTATATAATAAGAGAGAAAAAAATTAAAATAATCATTTTCAAATCCGAGCAGCCTAATTTAATTATAATCTAATATTTAAAAGGTGGACAATTACTTTTTTTAAAAAAAGTTAAGTCATGGTTAGTTGAGGTGGCCCTTATTCATGATTCGCTATATTAATTATTAGCAGTAATTCATCAGAAAAAATAACCATAAACTTTATTGTTTAAGCATGGAAAGGTACTGTGGAAAAGTGATAGGATGATATCTTTTTATTATTTAAAATGTCGAAGTTAGTAAGTCCCGGAAAAACATGATTCGGTATATAATTGAATTTTAATAAAATAAACAAAGGAATGTAAAACTGTTCAAATTTATTTTATTAAAACTATATATACGATAACCTTTTGATTACTTTCATGACGATTTGGATGTTAGATTAGATATATTGTGAAAAATAAATCAAAAAAATGTTATTGTATATTGAAGTAAACCGTTTTAAAAATAGCATCGAGAATCTAGTTTGATTCTTGATCCTGCAGAAAAACTTTAATACATGTCTTAATATAGTCATCGAAACATTAAATTTGGAAAATAATTCTTCTTTTATTATAAAATGTTACCTCTTTACCTATAATAAAGAACTATAAAAACCTAAATTCACTTTTTTTAATGCAACGATAATTTAAAGAAACAAATCTTAATTTAAAAGACGCCCACATTTATAGTCGTGGCTGTCTTTTCATAACAACTAAGCTTTTTTATGATCAAGTTTGTTTTTACCATTATTATGCGTTTTTCAGCTGCATAATTAAACCTGTATTTCTTCTCTAATGTCAGCTGAGAATTCAATGTCACGGCTTGAACTTTTTAACAACAACACCGTTGGTTTTGTACAGTATAGAAATTCAATAAACCATAAACAAAGTTGTACGTAGTATGTTTTATAACAGTTACAACTTCATTGACTAACGTATTTCAATGTAAAAAATTTCTTTGTACAATGTATAGTTATATTTAGATTAGAGGAGTGATCCTATGCAGAATTTTCTTTTTTGAGGTACCTATCTATTATCCTTATAGTTATCCTTTGTTTTATAATCTTTAAAATACTGGAGCTGTCTAAAAAAGACGCCGCAAACAGAAATATTTATTATTTTAAATCATTCCTACCCTATTTACTTAATTTATTTAATATGTCAAATTCATCCTTGTAGGACGTTAGTACGTTAGTAGTTATAATCCACAAATCTAAGTCTGTTAAGTTTTTGTCTCTGAATGTCTACTCCTAAAACCGTCCTATCATTAATTATATTCATCGTTTTTTCAATATACAAATTAAAAAGTAGCGGTGACAATGTGCTTCTTTGTTTAACTCTATTCCTAATATTCACTTCTCTAGGAAAACAAAAGAAAATATCATTTTGAATATTACGAATACTGTGGTATCAACAGATAAGAAAGTTGTTAAACGAATCTTAAATAAGAATATTCTTCTAACGAATTAAACGTTAACTTATCTTTTATACGCCATTTAGTTCCGTTTAACGTGATACTTAACAATACCAAGTAGAGGTAGTCCGGAATCTCATTAACCTTAGCTCTGGACTAAACATCACCCTTTCTATAACTTCTGCATTGCTACTTCCTAAAAACATTGGCATTTACCGTTTACAGCTTATTTAGAGGTCCATCCCTTGTTGTACATATATCTATGGTTAACAGCAGAGTCAATGTTTTCGCAATACACAATAATACGAATGCGCATATGAAGGCCCATGACATTTTAAACTAGCTGTACCTGACCATACTTAGCGTAATGAGTTGCACATTACGTATTTCTTGACACAATAAAATTATGTTGACAAAGGACTCGCTGTCACATAATGAATCGTTGTGCAGGTCGTGAGTAAAGTCATGATTTTACGATTTCTTCAGTCACGCCCACTAACGTTCACCCACATCCTACTTAAAACTCTGCCAGTTTTAATTATCTATTTGTTTATTATTAAAGGAGGGGTAGTTAAATAAGCTATTTCATTTTCTTTCAGCAACAAAATAATCAGCAAAGAAGTTTTTTGTTAAGCATCTAATATTTTTGTTTGTAATTTACAATACCAACCCCAAATTATAATAAGTAAAAAAAAATGACGAAGGTTATTTTTTTTAGTACCGGCAAATCAATAATTTTGTCGATGGTTTTTGAGCCACCTTTAAATATATATCGATACTAAGACGTATACTCAGGTCTGCAACCCCTAGCAGCTGTGAAAAAATAAAACTTCTAAGTTAATGTAATCAAGAGATACGGCCGTTTGTACCGCAAGTTTTAGCATCCGAATGGGAATCGAAGCCTATAGGGTATTTCCCGTTGAAATAAAATCATGAAATTTGGCAAGAAGTAATGCCTTAGGATGAAGTCTGAAAATTCTGTTCTGGTTTAATGTTTTTTTCTAGCGAAAATTTTGGCAGTTCCTACTAAGTTTAGAATTACATTTTCCTGTTGCTTTATTGAAATTAGTGGTTCTCTGGTTCTATTAATAGTGTTAATTGCGTCTACAATGCTCAAGTAATCCTCCTCTTTATCCCGTTTTACAAGGCACTTATAATAACCTTCTTACTTTGGGGTATTATCCGATTTCTTCATGATACTGTAAGGGTAATCTTTGCTATCAGCTAGAATTCGTTGAACACCGAACTAAAGACCGATAGCATTTTTATGCACTCTATGCCTTTTTGTAATATTATTACCTACAGCCCGTATACCTATACGAATTTCAAGCAGTTTTACCTACAGCTTTTCCTCGAAATTATGGAAGAAGTCTATTTTTAACATATTTCCTAATTAATATCACAAATAGAAAAAATCAACCGAGCAACTATTCGAGGGGAGCGCCCCCGGCATCCTCCCCTTTAGCTAGGGCTCTGCCTTGTATGGAAGAAGTATTTAAGTGAAAAATTGGAAGGCATACATCACAAAAAAACACCTAATTCTTTAATTGTAATTATATGTTTTGGGAACTGATTTTGGAGGAAACTTAAAACATACTCGGAAAAATCAGGAACAATCTTCGAAACTTGATTCGAAACTCAATTTTCATGCGAGATCAATCAATTTTCTGCCACCCTAATGTGTACTTAGTCATATACGAATATTTTATTGTTTATACAAATACTTTTCAGTAATAATTATACATAAATACATTTAAAATGGTATGCCTATGTGTATGTAATATCATCCTCTTTTATTGATAATACTAGATTTTTTTTCGTACAAAACGGCGTTTTTCCATTAGTAGAAATCAAACATCATAGACATTTAATCAATCAAATCAAAAGCAGGCGTGACCTTGGCTTGACGACATATACTGCACTCCACATCCAGTATTGCACCATCTTACTTTCAACGTATCATTTTTTCAATGTACAAAGGTGTTTTTTCGGTAAATTGGAACGAATGTCTGACAATCGGGTGATAGAGTATAAAAGATCGGCCGTTCTTGGTAGAGACCCAGTACAATCGAATACCTCATAGCATAGGTGTCATAGTTACTTCAGGTTACATAATGTACTCTATGGTAAGAACACGACTAACATGGTAAACCGATTTGATCACCACTCCCGTTATACCCGTATGGCTTTTCCAAGTGCTCCACTTAACTACAAAAAGTTACACGGAGTCGAAAGTTATCTACTAACACATTCCTTTTCAATCCAAAAACAGAAAACCACCATAAGTGAGAAAGAGCCCACTTTGAAAAGTCATTATACATAATCGTCAGTTAATATAAATAATATTCTAATTAAATTTGTTGTAACATAGACGTTAATTAATTTAAAAGGTTATAACCTTTGTAATTAATAGAATTTGTTGTTCTAGTCGCCAAGATTCCTCAAAAATAATTAAAAATTGAACTAATTGCTAAAGCTTTTAAATGAATATATGATGATAATAACTTGAAGTAATCTGTAGTGGAAAAAAATTAAGTTTATTTCACATTATTGTTTCATAATTATTAAAACTACAGATTTTCCTTCTTTGACAAATTAAACTGTTTATCCTAATCGCTAAAAGAATCGATTAATTATTAAATTACCTAAAGTCAAAAAAGATAACAAAAGATCTTATTATCTGGCGAACACTTAGTAAGATTTAAGTGCTATAATTATAGGTAATTTTATTATTTTCAGGTGATAGCTCTTTGCGCTTTGGTGGCGTCAGCCAGCGCGGGATTCCTCGACGGACATGCAGCTTTTGCACACGGTCCTGCAATATCATTTTCACACGCTCCTGCAATAGCAGCCCACTCGTATGCAGCTCCTGCATTCTACAAAGCTCCGGTGGCTATAGCCGCACCAGTACCGGTAAAAGCAGCAGCACATGCAGTGGACTACGTTGTAAGTAGAAATATATGGTGCATAATGGATAAGGGTGAAGTTAAATGGAACTAATATTTAGAAATACCTCATTAAATTTAAAGTAATTCTCATTTTAATATTGGTTAGCTAGAGAACAATAAAACGTTACGATCTTTTGAAAAAGAGAAGGTAATTTAATACGTAACATGTTCATAAATGGTTTTTGATGAAAATGCTTAAAACAGTTACTAATTGTGAGTATATTATAAAACTCCGACGATTTCACCATTTTCAAAAAGTTTGGACAGTTGTACGGAACTGATTTTCAATTTTGTTTTCTATGATATTTCTATAAATACTTTCAAATTTTCAATACGTTTATTTTCTGCATGTTGTTGCTAAAATGGTTATTTCTCCTAAGTAAAGGATACGACGAACTTTTTCGATGACTCCTTAACGTCATCGACCCCTACAGTATAAAATAATCTAAAATTTGTAATGCTTCTTTCTTCATCCAAGATTATTCGATTAATTCTGTCCCAATAATCACTTTGTCTAAATAAGATAGATATATAATACATAATCGCAAGTTAGTACAAATAATATCCAGATTAATTGCATTAAATGTAACATATACTATGTTAATATGAATGAAAAAATTCATTTAATTTCATTTATCCACTACAAATTACCTCGAATCGATGAGGAAAATTTTTTGCTGTTGTTACACCCTTGCCGTAAATCGAATACGGGATCCTTCGCTTTACGTCGTTGTTACTGCTGACACCTTTGATAGTTTAGAGTATTATTGCGTAAAGCCAAAGGTCCAGGATTCGACTCCCGGCGAGGGAACAATTTTTTCGCATTAATTTAAGGTAATTTGTAGTGGACAAATGAATTTTCACATTGATATTAACAACTATTAAATGTTCCTTAAAAGATATACATTAATTAATTCAAAAGTTTAGATCAATTATTTCATTATCATACAATTTGTTGTTCCAGTCGTCAAGATGTAGTATAATTCATCAAAAATAATTAAATAATCGAACTAATTGCTAAGGTTACAGATGAAAAGATAAAATGCACTAAACTTTTTTCTTTTTATGGTATCGCCATGTCCTAATCCCAATAGTATTGCGATTTTTGGGATAGTTTAAAGAAAAAAATTTTCTTCTGTTTCTTATTTTTATCAGATACGTACTGTCTTCTCAAAATTACTCATTTATTTAAGACCAAAGTTCTGTAGAAGCGAAAACTGACGTATAAGTGTATTAACACAGCAGATGGACAAGCATGAAATTTTTGTTGACGTTTTATTTAAAATCCAAAGCGAAAGAAACGCGGTCCTGCTGTCCCATAGTTTCGCTTTCATTGTCACTTTTTACTCAATAGCATAACTGCTCGAACAGATGGCAAATAGAGATGACACCCAATATTATTGTTAACCGATGATCGTTGTAAAATATAAATTTCTAAATGTGCGTGAGTAATTTCTATGATCAACGAATCTGCCGTAGATAGTGAAGTTTATGCCAAATCCATCTGTTATAATTTACTTATCGTATGTTACTACCGTATTCAGTAACATAACGAGCCAAATGTCATCAAGAGTTACACAATAAAAATTGAAGTAACTCCTGTAGTTTCTAACCCGGCAACGTCTTTTTTCGTAAAAATGCTTAACAATTTTCAGTTATTTATTTATTTATTTATTAAATACCCTATTAGATCTATACTTAAATGTAAAGAATAATTAAGGAGCTCATCTAAACTTAACGAAAGCTTTTGTCGACTCCGTTTGCCTACGGTGTACTCACTATTTCTGTTCTGTAAGTTTAAACCTTTGTTAAAATGTAAGCATTCTATTAAAATCCGTCAGATAGGATGCACCAGTTAGTAGCAAAACAATAATATTACAGTAGCATCAATGTAAAAATGCCAGTTTACAGTGAGTCATATCACCTTTTAGTTCCTCAAAAGGTTCTCAAGTTGACGAGTACTATATTTTAATTTTTTTTTATGAGCAGCCACGTATAACTTTTTACAGATTAGTCCGACTTTGATAATTCTGTTCACATTTGATAGGGTAGAAAAATAGAGTATGATTGATTGTGCACCCACTTAATTTTCACCTGTTAATTAGGTACCCATATATGGTTTCAATTATTATTTTTTTACTGAATAGGAAATACCTCAAAGTTGATCCCATTTAAGTTTGACAGATACCCCTAAGGGTGGAAGATNACGGTTACAATTCGGAAATCCAGTTTTTTTCACTGTTATGTCGAATATTTATTCCATTCAAGACAAATAAAAATAAAACGCCATTTTCGCGCTACAGGCACAGAGAAAAAGTATTCACTAATTCCTCTCCAGCCATGGAAATATACGCCTGAGGTCTTAGTATTAATAATTAAACTCATAAACTAAAGCAGATAACTTAGTCGGAGTGAAACAAGCAATCAATGAATATCATTAAATTACTGAAAATTAAAAATAGTCAAAACAAATCTGAAGATTCACTTTCGGATTTGCTATTGAAGTTTCGGATGGTTTTTATCATTCGACAGAATTTGCCTAAAGAAAGCATTCAAAACGCATTCACTTTCAACAAAATACCTTTTTTGGGATTTCGTATTGATCCAATCACACATTGGGCCAGTCCTAAACAGTTTATATGGTTTTAATAAATCCACAATTGCATGGTACGTTATAAGAATTATGAACAATGCTTTTTGGATTCCTCTTAGATGAAGGATGCAAATTTTTGACTATGTTTTGTTTTTTAACAGGCCTACCCCAAATATGAGTTCAATTACGGCGTAAAGGACGCTCACACTGGTGACCAGAAATCCCAAAGTGAAGTACGTGACGGTGACGTTGTAAAGGGAGAATATTCGTTAGTAGAACCGGACGGCACCATCCGTAAAGTTGAATATACAGCTGACGATCATAACGGTTTCAACGCCGTTGTAAGCCGAGAGGGTCACGCCGTTCACCCATCTGCACCCAAGATCATTGCAGCCCCTGCTATACAAAAGTACGTCGCTGCTGCCCCAATCGCGACAGCCCATTATGCCGCTCCAGCTATAGCTCACGGATACGCGGCTCCAGCTTTGGCTCATGGATATGCGGCTCCAGCTTACGATCACGGCGGTTACGGACACGGTCTGGGATTGGGTCTGCTCAAAGGCTAAGACGGATTGGGCGATTGGATCTCTCCCTCGCCCTCTCTTATCCTTTGACTTAAGAGGTACGTAGTAATACATCGTTGCCACGGATAACGCGATTGAAGCTTAACCGTGTTGTGATATTCCGCTGGTAAATGCCAGGTTGATTTTGATATCGCTCAGTGGCAACAATTGTATTATTACTTAACCGACGACATAGTTCAAATGTACGACGGCAAACTTACTGCAAACTCGCCCATTTATTGTTTTTCCTATTTATTCCTTAATTTTTTGCTTTGGGTTTGCCGCTTGTGCCGACCGCAATGCCAAAATGTCTATGACGAATTTTCAAGAGTGATGGTTTGTTCTATTATTGTTTCTTCTACGGCTTACGTACATATTATGTAATTATAATATTGCCTATGTATATTAGGTCTATTGTACATACACTTATATATCTAGTGATCTTTGTGCGCTAAGGTCTACCCTACATTGTGTTTTCATCTTCATATTATTTTCATATATTATACGAATATGTGCATTTCACGTTCATTCAGAAATTATTGTTTTATTTAATTAATTATTTGAACCCACTGATTCCTAACTCGAAAACAATCAAAATTCAGAATAATCTTTACCTTTACCCCGTGCTATTATTACCAACGCATAAGTTAAAAACCAAATTCCGTTCAACAAATTTGAAGGTAAATCATCGTCATAAAGTCGCCACTCCTAAGACTGGTTGGACACGCACTTCAACTTTTTTTTATCCTGAGCTAATCTTCACATTTCCCTAAAACTAGGACATCCAACATCCTTAACTATTTGCGAACAATTCTATAATCTAGATCTACCTCTACTCCTCCTAACTCCCGTTGATGCCTCTAATATGACCTTCATGTCTGAGAAGGTGTCCTACCAACCTATATCGCCTATTTCTTATTGATTTCTCTGTTCATCTATTCTTTCTAATACGTCTTCATTTCTAACCTTTTTTATCAACGGTATCCTCATAATTCGCCTGGAATACCACATTTCGAACGCTTCTAACCTTTTCTTTTCCGCCGAGTCCACCGTCCATGTTTCGCACCCGTACATTCATCATTTTTCGATTATAAACCACAATTTAAGGAATGAAATTATAAGGATAGCCTTGCTATGCGATATTCTACGTGAACTTAGCAATTCCTTTTTAAGAATTGAAAAGGAACTGTCTGTATTACTTATTATTCTAGAAATAGAAAACATTTGCTATTAGATCAAAATATAGCATATAGGTACTCTTTAATTTAAAGTATCTGTAACTCTTAATACTCCCGAAAGCTTTTGTCGACTCCGTTTGCCTACGGTGTACTCACTATTTCTGTTCTGTAAGTTTAAACCTTTGTTAAAATGTAAGCATTCTATTAAAATCCGTCAGATAGGATGCACCAGTTAGTAGCAAAACAATAATATTACAGTAGCATCAATGTAAAAATGCCAGTTTACAGTGAGTCATATCACCTTTTAGTTCCTCAAAAGGTTCTCAAGTTGACGAGTACTATATTTTAATTTTTTTTTATGAGCAGCCACGTATAACTTTTTACAGATTAGTCCGACTTTGATAATTCTGTTCACATTTGATAGGGTAGAAAAATAGAGTATGATTGATTGTGCACCCACTTAATTTTCACCTGTTAATTAGGTACCCATATATGGTTTCAATTATTATTTTTTTACTGAATAGGAAATACCTCAAAGTTGATCCCATTTAAGTTTGACAGATACCCCTAAGGGTGGAAGATTAATTTTTCACCTACTTCTTAATTTTCCCCAGTGCTACAAAAAATTAAAAAATAAAAACTTTCTAGGAAAAAAATTTAAACCAACATAAAAGAAAATGAGAATTTTTANACTTTCACTGTTAATTCTTTGTACACCACCAGGAATTACAATTTAAATATTACAGAACTGCACCCCTGTATCATCTTGTACGTCATTTCCCAGTCATTATAAATAAATCCATAAGTAAAATTTCTTAAATTTAATAATATAAACATAATGTTCAAATAACAACTATTATTTAAAAAAAGATTGTTATAACAAATATTTACAACACACATTTTTTTTTATTTGCCTGCTCTATCATTTTAAGTTGCGTGACTTTAAACGATTGTACCATTTTTCATACGCTTCTATTTATCAAACGCGTTAGAAAGTAAGTAATGTCTGCTCTAATTTCTTCATGTATTTCTACGCAATTTATTATCTTTCTTATTCATGAGGTCAAACGGTAGTTCGCAATATAAGCAGGTAATAATAATTTTATGCCAACGAAAATGTTTGCTTCTGTTAAATAACTCAATGTACGGATTATCTGCTATTTATGTCTTACATTACTTCCTTAATTTTACTCATTATTTACGAGAGAGAAACTTTATGTAAGCTAGTACCGATATATTCATATATTCCTCACTGACAACAATTCAAAAAGATATAGAATTCATTACCTAGATAATTGCTACTATTTTGAAGATAAAGGACATTAATTAATAATAACAAATCCTTCAATTAAAAAATCTCCTCTCAAATGTCTTGTCCATTTAGACCAGAACAACACTTTGCTACTATGCCACAACCGAAGAGGTAGAACTAGGTACATAGGTATTTAAGTCTTATATGAGTTTTATCCGCTCTTGACAATTTTAAATACTTCTTAAATAATAACGATTTATTTGTTTGACATTATGGACTCAAAATAAATAAAACCCTCAAATTTCGACGGTAACTTTGTTGGTGGCACTATTCCCCCAATAGCTAAGCCACTAAGTACTTAACCGCTACAATAAAAATCAAAACCAATTATGGGCAAGAGAGGAAATGGAACACTTAACCGTTATAGTACTCTAAATGGTAAATATTTTATCGTCTTTATGACAGTTTTCCCATTTTTCTATAATTTTTAACTGGAACGTGAAATTTTTGTCCATGGCCATCCTGAGTAACAGACGTATAGACAAACATACCCATGGCAGAACAAAATAGATGTATAATAGATAGATAATGTATTCAGAATTAGCACTGGTTCAGTAGGGTCTGCTTTACAGAGATCCTTTTAACAAAGTTAGTAAATGACTGCCCTGTAGTGGCGTTATGGATATGAAGGTTCTCATGATTTTAATCTGGAAAACCCCACAATACGACTACTTTATATTTATAAAAATTATCATTAAGCATCATATATGTAGATTATTTTTATCAGTGTTATCATCGTCATTATAACCTCGTCTGTCCTAAGACTGATTGGACACGCACCTCCACTTCTTCCTATCCTGAGCTAATCTTCGCATTTCCCTAAAACTAGAACAACCCACATCCTTAAGGATGTTTGGAAGGTATGTCAAAATGCTACGAGACAAATAAAAATTTGGAATAACGTTCCTCATTCAATTCTAAAACTCCTGTAAAAATTACAAATCGATTCACTAAACCGTTAAAAAGTTATTGAAATTTTAAAAAATTGTAATTTTACACGTCATTTTATGGAGATTCGTTAACCGAACAGATTAAATTTATTTTTATTAACAGAAAAAAA